CCCCGGGGGCTCGTCGCCCGCGTCGCGCGGAAGAGCCTCGGCGGAGAAGCGCACGCTGGCGGACCATAACATACTCCAGATGTCGTAATGAAAAGGGAGGGGGTCTGGACCCTCCAAGACAAGCCATTTCAGACCTCCCCCGTGGGAGAACCCTCCAAAACATCGTCCCCAGACACCCCCAGGCCCTCCAAGATAGCCTGGAAGAGACCCCCCCCGAAATGAGACCCCCCTCCCTTTATTACAAAATCTGGAGTACGTTGTGAGGAGCATCGAGGGCGACCTTTCGCCAGACTGACCCTTCGCGTGGGCCCCACGGGGTCCCCCCAAGGATAGTGGCCTGCGCGCTCGGTTTCGGCACCCCCGCGGCCCCCGTCGGCCGCGCACAGAGCGGGTCACGCCTGCCCGGGGTGCACCCTGGCGCGTGGCCGAGCCGCAGGGAGCGGTGCAGCGTGGGCGATTGTGGCTTCCGGGCGGCCGGGACGTCTCGGGCAGGGGCGTACTGGCGCGCTGCAGGTTCGTGTCGTGGCGACGCGGCGGCGGCCCCAGCGTGGGCGTTCAAAGATGGACGCCGCTGGTGGCCCAGAGTCGACCGATATCTGACGATCCGCGCTACTGGAAAGCCGCAATCGTTCAAGGTTGTCAAGGTTGAACTCTGGACGCCCGAAATGGGTATTGAAAGAATGGGTACAATGCCCAACAGCAGTTCCTGTTCATTTTGAACAAGATCCGCTGTCCACGCCGCCGCGGCCTGTGTCCATTCGAGACAGGAGGCCGCCTGCCCAACAGCGGCCGCTGTTGGTTTGGGACAACATCTGCTGTTGGGCATCGTACCCATTTTTTCGGTACCCATTTCGGGCGTCCAAATGAACGATCGAAGCAGCGTCAGAGGCGAATGCCGTACTGCCTTGCCTACCCGCGCCGAACCAAGCGTTCCTACACCGAGTCCAGTGCAAAGCCGATTGTCAGTTGGGCTGGCGAAGCCGCTGCAGATGCCTTACGATCCAGCCAGGCGCATCCGAGCAAACTTCTGAGCAGAGCGGACAACAAAAGCGAGCGTGATCATTGGAGGATTTCTGATAGGGGATGCCCTGAGCCCAAGGCGCGTGGTTCGTGGAGCCTCCCAACGCGCCTCGCCCCTCCTGCCGCACAATCGGACATCGGGTCACCGCGATCGCTCTCTTGGCCGCCTGCGTGGCGAGTGGGGCCCGCTCCTCCAGCGAAAGCCGCAGCCCCCAAAGCTCAGGTCCGGACGTACATCCTCTTCGAGCTCGACGGGCTCAACCACACGGCTGCAGAGGCCGGCTTCACTCGCAAGTTGCACGCGGCTTGGGCGGCGATCGCCCCGAGGACTCGAGGAGGAGGAGGAGGAGGCAGAGCAGGAGGAGCAAGAGCAGAAGCAGCAGCGGGGGGGGAGGACGCCCGCCGCGCCTCTCGTCCCCCTCTCGAGCACTCTGCCCGCGCATCGCCAGCAGTCCGAGGAGCAGGTCGTAGGCCTCTCCGCCCCAGCAGACAGGAGAAGCGGCCCCGCGGGACTCCAGGTTCGTTGATCTTGAGCACAGCGCGCGCAGCATGCCACCTGCGATGAAGAATGCGCATGGTGTGATTGTCGGTCCTCCTCCTCCGCCTCCTCCGCCTCCTCCGCCTCCTCCTCCTCCCCTCCTCCTTCTCCTTCTCCTCCTCGTCCTCCTCCTCCTCCTCCTCCTCCTCCTCCTCCTTTTCCTCCATTCGGAGAGCCGTAGGTCTCATAGCCGCAGGTTTTACAGTCGCAGTCGTGGCGCGCGCAGTGATGACATGTCCGACCGCTCGTCGAGTCACCATCGTGCAGGAGAGCGTCGAAGTGAGGATCGACGCAGCGAAGATCATTACGGTGAGAAGCGTCATGGTACCAGCGGCTCCGCCTCCAGCGGCACCAATGGAAGCATTTCCTCGGAGGTCATGGCCGAGTTGCGCTTGATGATGGGAGGCATTGAGGCGAACATCACCAGGTCCATCGGCTCGTCGACGGCCGCGTTGCAGGTGCAGCTGGCCGCGCATGAGGCATCGATCATCGCCTTGGATTCGCGTGTGGAGACGACCCAGTCCACCTTGCAGCAGCACCAGTCACAGATCGAGCAGCTTGGCGCCCAGATCCAGGCCGTCTCGCAGTTGGCGTCTCAAGCATCATCGGGAGCTTCATCGGCAGCGTCCTCTGCTTCTACCCCGTCTGGAGGTGGCAGTGGAACTGGTGGTGGCAACCGTGGGCGTGGCCAACAAGTCGGTACCAATCCCTTAGTACGCTTCATCGGAACCTTCCCTCGGCCTGTTCATAAGACTGTTAGTGAGGCACATTACCAACAAGTGTTGAATGCGCACCCGCATCTCCTTCAAGATGCTGAACCAGTATTCCATGCTGTGGCCCAGAATTATAAGATTGTCTTTCGCACGCTCGCCTCCGCCAAGCAGTTCAGTGAGAATGTCAACACGTCCGCCCTGCAGTGGATAGACCCACGTAATGGATCAGCCCACGCACTAAGGGTGCGCCATGACTTACCTATTGATGCACGCGACCGCCAGCGCACGATAAGCCGCATCTACCAGCCGGTCATGGATTTGCTTCGTGGTCATCAGTCGTGGACTGCCGAGTGCAAGCTTGGGGTGAACGGGTTCAAAGGCGAGATGATGATCGCCACGCCTCAGGATGTGTTCATCATTGTGAAGTTGCTGAAGAGGAATGAGTCCACGGAAGAGTTCCATGCCGTTCAAGAGGAGCTGAACTTGCGGGGTATCACCGCCGAGCCGATACAGCAGATCTTCAACGTCGCGCACCAGGCGGGCCGCGTCGGGAGCTACCTGTAGGACCCTCCCGTGCGGCAGTCTCGCGAGCGCCGTGCCGCCTCTTTTGCGCCTCCTCCGCTGGGGGAGAGCGAGCATCCTCGGCAGGATGCGTTTCGCTCGAGCAGAGGGCGGCTGCCCGTAAGTAGTCTCTTGCAGAGGGGGAGCCCAGAGCATCGCTCGTGCGATGCCCGTAGCTCGTGCAGGGAGGCCAGCGAGGGCCCCGACGGCGTCCGCTCAGCCACTTTTAACGTCTCTCGCGCTCGCTCTCGGCGTTGCAATCCTGTGCCTGGTCCTTGTCCCCCTCCTCTCTCTTCTCATCCATTTGTTCCTGATTGTTCTCTTGGCATCTGCAGTTGGAATATTCAGACTGTCCTCGGCTCTGTCCATTCGAACCAATCCAGCTTCCGATCTAAGTTGACTCATATCCGTTCCTTGCTCTGTAAGTTCCAGGTTCTCGGTATCAAGGAGTCTCACGGTTGCGAGGGGGATATCGTGCATTTCCAGAGAGAAGTTCGGACACACCACGTTTTTTGCAGCTTCTGTGAGTCTCCTTCTGCAGGTGGCAATCTCCTTCTTGTCTCTCGTGAGTTTCTCCGCAGCTGGTCTCAGTATGAATTTGTGGCAGTGGCGCCTGGGCGCATCTCTCTGCTGCGCTTGTCCTCCGAGAAGGGCAACTTGCAGTTCCTCAACCTCCACCTCGATCCTGAGTGGAGCATCAATGAGCTCAAAGATGTGTTTGCTAAGATTAAGAAAGCGCTCGGGAAGCCAGATGTTGTCACGAGCTTCGTTTTCGGGGACTTTAACTTCTCGGAGGTCGGGGAGTCCAGGGCGAATGCTTCCACGGGCCTTGATGGGCCCAGCACCAGCCGTTTGGCTTCGCTGTTCACGTTTGTGTTTCCGTATTTAGCTGAAGTTCCCCAGGAAGATGATACTCACCGTCTTCAGCGTGATGAAATGTGGTCGCACGGTCGATTGGACCGCCTTTACTGTTCCCTGCCCACTCAGGACATTCTCGACTTGTGTCCGAGCACGGGTGTTATCTGGCCTGCCTACGATTTGTCCAAACCTTCGGACCACGTTCCCGTGTTTCTGAAGCTGGAGCCGTGGAGACCCCGGGGTCCGACCCCGATCCCTGTTTGGGTAGCTAATCATCGCGTGTTTCAGGAAGTGGTCCAGGACCTTATCGTGCCGGAGGAGTTAGGCCAGAACTTAGACGAGCAGTTGCAGGGCATCAAAGATGTCTTCTATTACGCAGCCGGGCGCGCCAAGGCCCACATCGCCAGTCAAGGAGCTGAGTCGCTTGAGGAACGTGTATCTCGTTGCTTAAAATTGGCTCGGGCCGCTCGTGGAGGGCGCTTTCACAGTGCCAAGAAACCGATCTCTGGTTATTCTGCCTTGGGGAAGTTCTATGCTTTGGAATTGAATACCTGGTCTGACCGTGGGGCTTTCGATTTGCACCTGGGGAGTTTGATGCGAGATATATGTTCCAATCGTGAGGCGGCGCTCTGCTCGGTTGCTGAGATATCTGAGGCGGACATCGCCGAGGCAAGTGCTCTGCTGCTGTACAGCGCACTCGTGATATGTCTCGCGCATGGCGGTCGAGTGGCCGCAGGATTTGTTTGCAAGAGGTCACTGACGTTGATGGCCAGCATTACTCTGATGGCCGGAGATGCGCTGAGAATCTTGCTTCGTATTGGGAGTCGGTCTTCCAAGATGTCCAGGCTAGTGATGAAAGCATTGAGGATTTGTGTTCCGAGATCATCCCGATCCCCTTCCACCCGTTCCACTACCAAGCCAGAGATTTAGCGTTGTATCCTTGGGTGGTCCCTGAGAGTAAATTTCAGGATATCCTTTGTTGGAAGAAAAACACGGCCCCTGGGCCTGATGGAGTGCCCTATGCTGCCTGGAAGTCTGCTGGCGATTCGGCCCAGCATATCTTGTACGAAATCTACTTGAGGATGATGCAGACTGGGCGCCTCCCTCCTGATTTTAAGGTCGCAAGAGGTGTATTTCTACCCAAGGACTGTCCAGGCGGTATTGACACCGCTGCCCGCACGCCAGCTTGCACGAGGCCTCTGTCATTATCGAACTCTGACAACAATATTGTCACCAGCTGCGTTGGCTTTGCGGTCTCAGAGGTTGTGAAGGACACGGCTGAGGTTTGCCAGAAGGGTTTCGTCAAGGGCCGCCAGCTTCTCGACAATGTGTTTTCCCTGGACGCTGCGTTTTTGAAGTGGGCCATGATGGACGTTTCCCTTCGGATTGGCTCGGCGCTTTTTGATGTGAAAAACGCGTTCCCCAGTGTCATTCACAAATATATTTGGGCTGTCTTACGGCGTATCAATCTTCCTCGGAATATCAGTGGCGCGATCAAGGCGTTGTATTCGAATATGCGTATGTGTATTTGTATTCACGATTGCGAACCTGTATATATCGCGGTGATGAGGGGCGCGAAACAAGGCTGCCCCATTTCTGGCTTGATTTTCTGTTTATGTATCAACCCGATGTTGACGAGAATACGTAAAAGATGTTCGAGTTTGCCCATCGAGATGGGTGCCTTCGCCGACGACATAGGTATTTGCTGCCGTGATGTACTCCAGAGCCTCCCGACGATCTTGAGAGTGCTCTCAGATGGTGGCAAAGCTTCTGGCCTCATTTTGAACCTTGCCAAGTGCGTGCTGGTGATACCGTCACCCGCCTTTCGTGAATCTGTAGTTGCAGACCTCCGGCGATTGGGTGTGGGTATTCGTCGATTTAAGATTCTCAAGAACGGGAAGTATTTGGGTGTGTACTTGGGCATCGAGGGGAGGGAGGAGAGCTGGAAGCAGGTGGTTACTACCTTGGGGAGGAGGACGTTGCAGGTGAAGCAGATGGGGGAGGCTTATCTTTTCGCATCTCCGCTTACAACATGCATGCCCTGCCCGTCGTGAGCCATGTGTCGCGGGTCTGGGACCCCCCCCAAGTCTGTCCGCTTAGCTGAAAAGAACATGCTCCAGAGGCTTACCTGTTCCCCGAGGTTTGCGTTCCCTCCAGAGACCTTGCACCAGCTCAAAGATTTAGGCCGCCGTGTGGAGGCACGGAGGCTGGAGGTCTATGCCCGCGCCTGCATGCTACGTTCCGCCATCAACTCTGGCAAGTTCCATGCGCTGAAAAATGAGTTGCAGGAGTATGCAGACTCGGACGAGGTTGTGATCGCATGGAGGTATAGCCCCTATGCGAAAGATTCCCTCTTCCTGCGCATCTGGGATCTTTATAATCAGTTCTTCCAGATTCACCGCCCCTTGAACTGCAAGCCCAAGGCTGTGCAGGCTCGGGTGACCAAGATGTTGCTCATGAATCGGCGGCTTGAGTTTCCCAGTGTCCAGGATGTTATATTCCCGAGGTTGAAAAAATGGGTCCCTGATATTGTGCCCGCAGATGTGTTCCTGACGATTATCCGTATTGGTGTTGCTGGTCCCAAACTTCCTGGAAATGTTTTATCGGCGTGTTTGAAAGCCGTGTTTAATGGATGGAATACCACCCGACGGTATAGG